GCACCCTGCCCGCGTCGGGCCGTCTGGCTGCCTGCTCAGGGGCCCTGGCGGGGAAGACGCGAAGGTGGGAGGTGGCGCAGCCCGTGCAGGAACAGCCGGCGGCGCTCCGGGGGCGGGGCCGACGCTCCGGGGGCGGGGCCGGCACTCAGGGGCAGGGGCCGCTCCCGTTCAGCTCTCTGCCACCCAACTCAGTTCAGACACAGCGCGGTCTTTCCCTCAGGATCAGCAACGCTACCACGAGGACATTTTCGGGCTCACTCTGCGCACCCAGGAGGTGACAAGCCGCATCCGCACCCAGAGCTTCTCCCTGCAGGAGCGGCGTCTGCGGGGCGCAGTGCCCTGGGCGTTCGACCCGCCGGGTCCAGACGCCGCCGGCCCCTGAGAGCCCGTTTACGCTCAAGGCCCAGCCCGCGCGAGCGCGGCCATCAGTGCCCCTGACACTGCCCCTCCTGTCGGCCTGCCGAGGACCAGCACCTTGCCCTCCCCTCCCCGGACGCCTGTCTGTCCAGGGTCTGCGGGAACTCCCCTTATTCCCCAGACAGAGTGGCAGTGTCGCTCCCGACCCATCTCCCTCCCACATCTGGAAAGCCCCACCCCAGCAAGGTGTTCCAGACGCCATGGGTTACCCCTCCGAACTCTTTAGGTGAATTTAGATTCCCCTCACCTCTTTCAGAGGTACCTTATCTTGAAACCTAATCTTTAAATCCATCAAATATTTATTATTGAAGATTCGCCATAAGAGACTGGATCAGATATTCTTAGAGCTACTGAGATACCTAGCCCAGCCTGTCGATTAAAATGCCAGAACACCAGCTTCCTCTTCTTACTGGTGGGGGTGGGGGGTCTCTGGCAGGGAGTCCTGCCCTGCACTCTGACGCTGATATCAGAAATGAGGTTTCTGGTCACTCAAGGGCACTGGGTGATGCCCTCTTGCTCTTGACTGAGAGGCAGGGCGTGGGGAGGGCCAGCGTCCAGACTGTGCAGCGAGTCAGCCAGCCTGTGCGGCCGGGCTCAGACGGATGAGGAACCCCAAGGCTTAAGACCTCAGACCAAAGCCGAACTCCAAAATCAGCCCTCTCTGGAGTCTCTGCACTCACCAGTCCCACCAGTTACCCCCTCTGCAAGTCCCCTGGGAACTTGAAGGCCTGAGACCCCACTCAGACCCCATTCCTCCTGTTTGCAGATGGCCTTGCCCCAGCCCTGAGGACACCTGCCCCCAGACATCCAGTCTGGGACAGCTAGCCGGCTGCCCCGTGGCCCTAGTGTGGAGATCATCGCTGACACTGGTTTCCAGATGCCTTTGGCATCTCTCCTGCCCTTTCTCTGTGCTCTGGGGCGAAGCCTGTCACTGACCCCCGACTCCAGCCCAACTAGATATACAGGGAACCAGGGTCCCTGGGGGGATCTCTAAAGAGAGCTGGGCGGGTCCTTCCACTCCACCTTGTCACATCTCCCGGTGCTGGAAAAGCTGGAGAGCCTGGGAGGGAGAAAGAGGCTCTTGGGGTTAGTTCCAGAGATGACCACCCCATCACCCTAAATCCCACTTCCCATTGCTTCATTCTGGCTCCCCCCAATTTTCTACTAATTAGACAGTACCTACCCCAGAAGACCACTCAGTCAGTGCCAGGGGCCTGGCCAGGCTCCTTCTGGGCATCTGTGGTTTCTTGAAACCCCCCAGGGAACAAAGTCTGGCCCCTCTGGGCTCTCCACTGCTGTCTGGGACTAGAGACAGGACTGGAACCTGGTGAGAAAAGCCATCCGGTGGCTACTGCTGGGTCACCAGCATCCACGCAGCCAGTCCCCTGTCCTCCCTGATGCCTCACCATCACTGGACCAGGATGGCTTCTCCTCATCGGGCGAGAGGGCCTGCGGGGGGCTGGACCAGGGCCGGGACAGGGAGGAGGCGGAAGCCTCGCCCCACGCTTCCTGCTGCTGCTGCTGATGGAGCTAGATGGGAAGGAGAGAGTCAGGGGCTCCTCAAGCCAGCCCCAGGCCCTGGGCTGGGGGTTCTGGCACCTCAACTCCCCACTTCTCTTTTGCACACCCCTCTAACTCACCTGGTGCAGGTAGATGGCATGGAGACTCATCTCGGCAGAAGTCAGCTCTGGGAGCTGGGCCAGTTTCTGCCCCCCACTGCCTCCTGGGGACACGCAGCTGGAACAGAGAGTACAGGGTCAAAAACACATGCCTTCCCACACGCACCCTAAAGGGGGGCAGAGCTAGGTCCCCCCAACCCTCCCCAGAGCCCCCGGCTCTGATTCTCACCTTGGGTCCTGGGCAATTCGGGAAATGGAGGCCAGGAGGCTAGCTGTGGCCGCTGGGCAGGGCGCAGTGGGGCTCAGGTCCCTCTGGGGCAGGAGGGGGTGCACCAGGAGGTTGGCCAGGAAGGCCTCAGGCTGGAGCAAAAACGGGGGGTCAGGAGGGAGCAAGGAAGTGGGGGAGGTCATCTAAGGAGGCAGACAGCAGTTCAGCCTGGCGAGCAGGCTGATACAAAAGGTGGGAGAGCGAAGGGGCAGGGAGGCAGAAGGCCTGGTGGGGGACTCACCAGAGGGGAGGAAGAGTCACTGAGCACCCCAGGGGTGGGGGGGCTGCGAACCGAAGTGGCGCCCCAGGCCGCGGCATCTTGCTGAAGCCGGCCTCGGAGCTGCCCCAGGAACTTGGAGCTGTGCCCTGGGGGCCGCCATTGAGGATGCACCAGGGAGAACCTCATCAGGGAGAGCTCGGTCTTCCCGTCCTCCGCGCGCTGAGACAGCGAGGCCTCGGTCTGTCCCGCCGAGAGCCACTGGGAGCAAGGAGCCTTTCAGTGGGTGCTGCATTCGCGGCTGCGTCACGCACCCGTGGGGCAGGTGGCACAGGACACACCGGCCCCCGTTCCCGGGGTGACGTGCAGAGCAGGGCCGGTGCCGCCCCGGCTGCAGCCCTGATGTGGGCAGGGCGCCCTTGGGCCAGGGGCAGTGGGATTCCTAGCTCAAGGTCACAGGGGCAGGCCATGGGGCTGGGCTTGGACCCGTGCAAGGTGCGAGAGGCGACACACTCCTCCCAACCCGCCGCCCACCAGCCAGGGAAGGGCTCTCACCTGAGGGTGGCCGTGGCGCTTCACGTCCATGAGGGCAAAGGAACAGATGTCCCCGACCCCCGCCACGTCCACAGTGAAGTGGTGGAAAAAGTCAATGATCTCCAGGGCGCGGGGGCGAAACCAGAAGAGCAGAAACAGGGGGGTGAGCACGGGCGACAGGAGCTCCTCGAGCAGGGAGACCTGGCGAGCAGGGAAGAGGCTGAGACGGGGGCGGCCGGGGGCTCTGGCCAGCCCACAGCGTCAGGGCCGCGGGGTAGCCGGCAGCCCGCGCGCGTCCCCGGGCGGCCCTCGGCCCTCACCGCTCTGTACTGCAGCAGCCGCGCCATCTGCCGGTAGGCGCTGGCCTTGCCG